TGGTATTTCAGTGCATGTAAAACCATTAAAAAAAAACGTCAGATTCTGCCACTGGTTTGTCTAAACTGTGCAAAGGGACTGGACTGAACACACTGAGCAATACTTTCCTAATGGAAATGTTTTATTTTTGGTTTCACAGAACTTGGGTGGGTGCCCACAAATTGCGTCTACGGCTTGTGTTCAAAATAGCATACAGTACTACTCATACTATTTTTGCAGTATGCATGCTTCAAACAGTATGCATAGAATATCTGTGAAGTAATGCATTTGACATTTTTATTTTTGCATTCACAACATTTTATTTTATTCATATATTTGTATTAAAAATATTTAAAAATAAAAAATTGTTTATTATTTATAAATTTTATTTTATATTGTTTGTATTTTTTTATTTGAAATTAAAAATGTTTAAAAATACAAAAAATATGTTCGGTGTCTGGTGTGTGTGTGTGTGTGTGTGTGTGTGTGGTTTATGTTAAGTGTTGGTGTTAAGGAACTAAATGTAGCACTTTAACTATATTTTTCAGTAGGCTGATCATTTGTGCAGCTTCACAGTTGAGAGTTGATGCAATAAACACACTTTCTTTAAATGCTGCTGTTTTTACTGTATTTTGGACTTGGTTTCATTTATTTATTCATTCATTCATTTTTTTAATTTAATATAAATGTATCGAGTCAAGTTTCATTCTCTCAACCTAATTTATATATTGAAATTTTCTATATATATTGAAAAAGATATTGCTGATGCCATAATCAAGCACACTGTTTAAATGTCCTCTCTCATGTAAAGTTTGTTTGTTTATTTATTTAGTAATTCATTCATTCATTACTTAATTTTTCATTGAATATAAATGTATTTAAGTTTTATACTTTCAACCTAATTGAGCTTTATAATTAATTAAATTCTAATCTAGATGATTGGATAATTATATAATGAAAAATATGTTGCTGATGCAATAATCATGCAATAAACATGCTCTCTTTCAAATTTATTCTTGTGAATATTTTCTTTGGCAATGTACCAATGAACCAATAAAAAAAAAAGCATTTTAAATGCTGCTCTTTGTTACTACATTTTGGACTTGTTTTAATGAATGAATGGATTCATTCATTCATTCACTTTTTATTTGATATCAGTTTAGCTACTTAAGTTTCATACTTTCAGCGTAATTGAGATTTATTCATTAAATTATAATCTAGATGATTGGATATTAATTTAATTAAATAAAAAAATATTCAGCATTGAACTTTTTGCATTCAAGCATTTTATTAACCTCAAAGATATGTTTGTGAATGTTGGTTTATGATGGTTTACTGTACTAATTTCTGGCAGCATGCATACATTATGTACAGTATATATATATATATA